TCATATGGGCCCAACGACCAGCAATATTGGGCAAAATCGCGGATTGAATTAGTGTTGCGGATGAGACTAAATCACGGGTTGCATTAGTCTTGTAAATTCTAAATATTGATCTTTTTAGTTGTTTAAAGAATAGTGTTGCGAATGATGAGATCGTGTTTGCATTAAGATCATTTCTTTATTTTCAGGGTAGTGTTGCGAAAATGACTGAGCGCGATTGCTTATACTTTTTATTTAAATTAAAGTCTTGTTGAATTGAACTCACAAAATTGATTGTTTCAAATAGTCGTTTTCTTTTGTTGAATTAGTGTTGCGATATAGATTGATCGGGTTTGTTTTAGTGTTGCCTGTTTAGCGCACTATTGTGGCTGCTATTTTTTACTTGTTTAGCGCCCTATTATGGCTGCTACTTTTTACTTGTTTAGCGCCCTATTGTGGCTGCTATTTTTTACTCGTTTAGCGCCCTATTATGGCTGCTACTTTTTACTTGTTTAGTGCCCTATTGTGGCTGCTATTTTTTACCTGTTTAGCGCACTATTGTGGCTGCTATTTTTTACTTGTTTAAAGCCTTATTGTGGCTGCTATTTTTTACTTGTTTAGCGCCCTATTATGGCTGCTACTTTTTACTTGTTTAGCGCCCTATTGTGGCTGCTATTTTTTACTTGTTCAGTGCCCTATTGTGGCTGCTATTTTTTACTTGTTTATCGCCCTATTGTGGCTGCTGCTTTTCTACTTTTGTTGTTATTGTATTGAATTATTATTATTGAGTATTGTGCACCAAGTGTTTACGTTGAAAATACTGTTGATAAGAATATTTATGTTACTAAACAAAATGTTCTATTTTTAATAATTCTGCAAATGTTCGTTACAATTTGTAATACACATTAAAAAATCTATGTATCGACAATGATGATAGATTTGATTAATTATTGACACATAAAAATTAAAATTAATTTGTAATTAAATTTTAATTAGACTCCGTAGAAGTGACTATTCGTTGTTAGAGTTGGTGATGTATCAATTCTTGAATCGTTATGCGTAATTTGCAAAAGCCATTGATATCAAAATAGTGTTCATTTTTGTAAATTTTTGGAATATCTCTGCGAAAATCAAAGTTTCTTCGGGACTGTTGCTGAATATGATAACTGATGAAAAACTTGCAGCTGAAAAAATATGCAAATGCAATTCGATCCTTCATATTGATATCAAATTTTCAACTAAAGTCACTCTCAATTTACTGATACTATCTCTGTACGAAAACAATTTAAATTTCGATATAGTAAGATACGATTGTTTCTTGATTTGTACTTTGACACACGAAAAAGATACAGTCATCAGTTAGTCGATAAAGTTAATTGTATAAAAAGTTAGTGTTTTTGGATTCTCCAAAATTTATTCTTGTTCGATTTTTGCACAGAGTCGTATTGAATTTTAAATTCAGTCGGTTAACAACTTTTCTAGTAAATTAATTTTTTTATTTTTTGTATACTCGATAAAAATGTCTGACACTTCCTTGTCCTTTATGCGTACTAATCCCTTCTTTTTCAGCTTTTAATCCAAAGGATTAATTTTTTGTTTCAGATTATTTACAAAAATTTTCTACACTGAATCCCTGTTTGCGAACATGAAGAGTCAACAATCTCAAGAAATTTGATTTATGTTTCTAATTGTTGTAGTTTCTGTTTCAGGAATCCTCGTGGGTTCAAATTTTAAATTATTGAATTAAAATGTCGATAAAAATGTATTGTTATGTTCTTCTATTCTTATTGTATGTTATATATGTATGTTCTCTCATATTTCTGTTCCAGAAATCATCCTAGGATTGAATTAATGCTCGCTAAATTATTATAAATTATTAACTGTCCACTGATATGATATTGTCCATTGAGTTTCTCTTTCAGGGATCATCTTGGAATCAAGCTACATGTTCATCTGAATGAATTGTTTATAATCTATAAAAATGTTTTGTCATAATCCTCCCAATTTCTGCTTCAGAAATCATCATATGAAAATTTTTCTTCACCCGAAGATCAGTATATGAAGGTATCATCATCCGCAGATTGTCATGGAGCCAAACGGGTTTAAAAAATAACTGCGTTATTCATGGGCGTAGCCAGGTTATCAATCAGGGGGGTGTGGCAATGTAATTTTTTATTATTTAAACAATTGTTATTTCTTTATTAATTGAGTATGTATCGTGGTAGTACGTTATTCATTTCACTAGAAAATGCAGTAATTTGGAGATAATGTATACAATAATTGTATAGTAGTCACTTCAGTGTACACATTTCAATACATTAGTCAGATATCATTTATGAATATAGAATGAAATAGCTCTATATAGAGAAAGTTAAATAATACAATAACATAACTAGAATAACATAAATAGAAATACGTAAGAAAATTCGCAATGGCCTATAAATAACGGTCAGCTGATAAAAATAATATTGAAATCATTAATGTGTGCAAATAAGTCTCGTCGGTATATTCGAATATAAAGTAGAAAAAACAGAAACCACACCGGTATGTTTATGATAGAGAGGAAAACGTGGTGGTGCCTTCCTGGATAGGCATGTGTAGCAGTTAGCGCAATACCACGAGACGCGACAGCACGTTTCAATCCCGGAACCAGTGTCGCGAGACACAAAGGTATCATTCGTATTTGCAAGTTCCATGAAATAGTGGAACACGTGTATTGGGAATCGCAATAAAGTATCGGTGCATAAAAAGAAGGCGTATTAAGTTATGTCACCTGTGCATCGATATGCACGCCCTAGTGAAAAACCGCGTGTTATGGAATAATTTAACACGTTGTGCATGTATGACCATTGAAAAGTGCATTGCGATTTCCAGTTATCGTGGCCGGTGTTTTCGTTGCCATTGGCAAAGAACGCATACGGTTACGTACACGGGTAGAGTAATGAGACGTACTGGCGTGTACTCACGACCACTTTAATGGAGTGTGAGCGTTAAATGCAGGGAAGGTACTACTGTGTTTCACCAGCATGTATTATGTATAAACATATTTGTATGGTAGACGTATATACTCAGAAGGAATGAGTATTTGTATTCTGTCCATTAAAAAGGGCAGGCCCAGAGTTGTCCATCTACTACTTGCGTGCAGCATTTTCTTCCTCCGGAGGTACCCTCACTATGGGACTTGGATTGACTCGCTCGAGTCAATTTGAGGTCCGTAGTCGGGGATACCTACGAGGCGAAACACGTAATTGTTTGTAGCTCGTGGGCGGCATTTGGACACCTTTGGTATTAGTGTTAATTTTTATGATTTTTAGATTAATGTTTAGTATGTTAATAAAATTTTATTTCACCCGTTAGTGTGCTAATTATTATTTTCAGCAGTTATACCGCCATTTGTAGATAAATAACGAAATTCATATAACGTAAATTTATTTACTATTTAAATACAGTACATAATATACCAGTTTACTGTGAAGTAGTTTAAGATTATTATTTGTCTTCATTGATATTTTTAAACAAACACGAATATTCGTGAAGCATCATTGACATTGAATTAGATCAGAAATACGTACTATCACGTTTCTCGAAGACAGAAATAAAAATTAAGTAGTGTCTTTTGACTGATGTATGAGACATGACAGACATGTACAAGAAGTCATTTCGCGACGGGTAGTTTTTTGCGTCAAAGCGACATAAAACATAAAACAAAGATCAGTATATGAAGGTTTGTCATCACCCGCAGATTGTTATGAAGCCGAATGGGTTTAAAAAATAACTGCTGTTCATAGGCGTAGCCAATTTATCAGTTAGGGGGAGGTAATGTAATTTTGTTCTTTCAGGAAGGGGGTGGGGGCAAAGTCCTATTTTTTTCTTCTAACGTAGTGCAAAACCGACTTTTTTCGTCCGTGGACGGAGTGGGGGGGGGCATGTGCCCATGGCGTTGTTTGAACATTAGTTTCTGCGTTCCGTTTAGTTTAAGTTGTTGAATGTAAATTGTATACATTTATGAATTATTATTAAGTTGTCATTTTGAATTATTATTATTTATTGTTAAATTATTTGTACAAGGAGAATAGATGTGCAACTTGTGATTCCATCTATCCTCCTTGGGTCTCCATTCGCAGCAACCTCCACGTGGTGAGACCTGGGCAATCATTATTTGGTATATAATTGACAACTATAATCACCTACAAGTTGACGGATTATATAGCAAATAATATGAGCTAATTGGCTGCGATCTTGCTCATTTTGATCAATTGATTCTTGTTGTTAGTTTCTGTACTGACTAGCTGCACCACCACAGACGAGGCATAACTGATAAAAAAATAGAATAAGAAAAATGATCAATTAACGGACTCCAATCATCCGCGCGCTTTTCCCAACGATCGTCCGTTCATTTATGCGATCACCTTACTATCTCCGTTCTTTTTAGAGGTATGAAAAACGTTTATTCGCAAAAGTTATTGAGTATTGACACATTTTATTAAAACAATATTATATACACCGCTCACATTCTCTGATGAAAAATATACGAGTTAAATGCGACCCGTATGTATTCCGTTACTTCCTTGCTAGTCGTCAGAGTGAGGTGCGCGCACGTGCGATGGATATGTTGTAGCAAGAGGAATTCCTAGTGATCAATTACGGACTCTCAATTATTGGGTTTCTATTGTAATTTACGAATTCACTGTTCTCATAACTTAGAGGGCAGCAAGAAATCTCTGACTGTTTGCACGATCGGTATTTCAGAACATGAGACACAAAGTCCCATAAGATGATAAGTCTATTCTATACCTCGTCTGTGATACAACATACATATACTCACTACAGTTTCGGCTAACATTCGTGCTGTTGGAATAGAGTGGAAAATTATTTTCACAGTCGGTACAATTGCGTAATGTTTACTAATGAAATAGTAGCATTTTAAAAAATACAATGTTTATTTTTCAATTAAAAAATATCACTGTTATGTCTTCCTTCGGTAATTGTACATAAAACATTTAACAAAATATTTATACTATATTTTAAACATTTTCTTCTATATCCAAAGTATCTGAGTATTTTATTGTCTCCTCCTTCTTTACGGTTTTTTCTTTATCTGTACTCTCAGTTTTTGGTTTCATTTTCGGGGAATAACTGAGACTTGATTTTTCAAAGTCTAACGTCATGATACCTAAATCGCCGCTATATCTATTTTTAGCTACCTAAGGAACACAAAATTTTCATAATCAGTAATTCCATGATGTACAGCAATTTAATAAATCGGTAACATACTTGCAAATATTTTTTGCCTCGAATACTACTCAGTCTTTTATCTTGAATAATAAGTACGTTATCTGCTTCTTGACTTGCTTTAGCGCTTCCAAAAATCGACGAAGTTGTTAATTCTTCTTCAATGCGTTCTTTTCTTGGATGTATTATCGCAGTTACGTGGCAGTTATATTTAGTAGCAAAATTTCTGAATTTTGAAATTATATCATCCTGTTTCCAGAATCTAGAACATCGTAATATTATGTTACATACAAGAGTATTGCAAAGCTCTACATGTTTCAATACCTGTCCATGTGTTTATGGTCCTCCGATGTTCCCATCATAAATTGAACATTGTCAATTATTACATGAGCTATGTCATGGACATAAGTTGCGTGTTCAACTGCCTGCAATAAAGATACTATTGGATTTTTGCTTCTTTAACAATTGGATAATACAATCTTGCGTATACCTACATCCATGACTACTTTAATACTTTGCTGACCATGAAATGTCATAAAATAAATTGGTAATTTTTCAAAGTTGTCTGCATACGAATCAAAGTGTTGAATATTTTCATCCAATGGTACTCTCGCCATTTGTTGCAACATTGTTCTTGCTAATCGAGCATTCCTTATTTCAAAACTGCCCCATAAAGTATTGACACCTTGCATCGCTAAATCCAAAGAATACTCGCTCATAAATGTTGTCTTGCCACATCCTGATAAAAGACTGTATTCAGAATTTTTACTTTGAAAATGTGCTTCAAAAATACCATATTACCTGTTGATCCTGTTAGAATTGTAAATTCTCCTCTCCTGTGACCCTTCAGTATCTTATTTAGAGCTGGATATCTTTTCCATTTCACACCTTGTACTTTGTCAGTGTTTAGTAAATCGCTGAACACTTCCTCTCTTAATTGTTGAAAGGTAGTTATACTTTTATGCCACATAGATTGTGCGTTTTGAAGAATACTCTTTAGGTCGTAACCCACATCGTTTGCTAACTTTGGTTCAGGCTGTAAATCCGTTGGCCTCACGAAATAGCATCGTTTTTCATTTAACTTTTTTGCAAATTGCCTGGCAGTATACCAACTTATTTCATCATTCCCAAACCATAAAATCAACTTCTTGAAGGATTCCATATAAGGTAATAACTGTTGAGGTAGACTTTTCAAATTGTATGGCAAACAGAGAATCAGGTTTGCTGATTTCTGTGATACCAAAGCTAGCAAGTCCTGCATCGTTCCTACAACCACAGCAGTATTATCATTTTTACTGTTCTGTTGTTTGTACTTAATACAACCACTAACCCCAATAGCAGGAACTGTTTGCTCTAGCTCCGATCCTATTGTAAGGGATTTATATCCAACAATAGAATTATTTAAACCTATTAATGGAAAGTGCAATATGTTGGATGTTTTTTCGTAAATGCATTGTAACTGGCTCATATCTTCTTGTAAAACTTCCTGCAAAATAGATTGTATTTTAGAATATTAATATACATACAAAATTTAATGCTCTACTTAATTTCTTTACCGGAAGTGAAAAATTGATGAGCAGACTTTTATATTCCTCTGTACTTAAATCTTTCATTGTGTGACAATTTTTCACCATTTGTTTCCAATCTTTATTAAAATCGTTTTCCAGCTGTAAATTTGCTTTCCATACATCAAGTTCTTTTAGTTTCTCACTTGATTTCTGTATTGAGAAAAATTTTTCAAGCACATCCCAAGACCCAGAGTATTTACATTTATCGCACATGAAAAATCCTACAATTATAGTTGTTAATCTTACATTATCATGTAGAACTATTCTTATATCTTTTCAAACCAATACATACCTGTTGTCTTATTTACATAAAGTTTGGATTCTTGTTTTGCATTGTTGCATATGAGACAATCTGATATAATACACGTATACCCATCTAATACGGGTAGACATTTTTGTTTAAATAATTGTTTCAAATTCAAGACAGATCTATTAAACATAGTCTTGTCACTTTCTTTATGAAAACACTGTTTACCAATGAAACTTGTAAATTGATGCTTTCTTTCTTGAGTGCAAATACGTGTAAATAATGTTAACCACATTTTGAAATATGAAATTAACTAATTACTTCAAATTTTCTAAATAAAAAATTATAATTATAGCATTACATTGGTGTTTTTTTTCTCATGTCACTTTCAAACAGAAAATTCTGTGATGTACATCTCTCACAAATTTATAAACAACAGATTGCAAACATTTGTACATACCGAAATTTATTACAATAAATTAAGAACACATTTACAAATATAAATTTCTATTTGCAATATTTTTTAATTTCACAACAATAATGACTAAATGTACAATTTTTTAACATTTGATAGACACGGGAGTTACATATTCTTTATGCCGTTTAGATACAGATACAAATAACCGGCTTTTATACATAGTATCAATGAAATCTAACATTATTCAATGTTTCATATTTATATTACTGACTGACATGTTTTGAATACAATGTTCTGTACATATAAAAAGTACCATAAACTGGCGAAAGTTTAAACAATTTCAATTTTTGCATTCATTGTTGATTTCATAACAACTTCGTTCGGCATACACGTGTTTTCTTGAACATGGGTAGACATCTCGTGGAGTGGAACAGCCTAGCTCTTCATTTACATTAGAGATGGCGTAAACTGCTACTTGTAAATCACGAGTGATTCGATCACATTCGTTCCCAATCGCGATGATTTTTTACAGTGATTCGTGATTTTTCATGATCGTCTCTGATTGGTCAAGAATATAACAACAGTTCTTTGCACACCTCACATAACCTGTATATTTCATATTAATTATATATAAATAAAAATACTAGTTACATCGTATAAAGTAAAGGAATAATGAGGAACAATGAAAAATAATGAATAAATTAATAATTATGAATTCTAATCAACAATGTATGTTGTGTAATTATAGCAAATCATTCTGTTATAATTTAATTTTTCCTACTGATTTTTCAAAACGCAAATATTAATGTAATTCATTTTCAAATCATATTGAGTATGTGCTTCTTTAAAGATCACGAATTAAAATCACAGTGAAAAAATTTTTTGAAAATAAAATCACGATCACAAAAATCACGACCATGATCGTGATTCTGTGATCACTGTGATAAATTATTGTTAGTGATTTTACACACCATCCCTACAATAATGGTATATATATAAAATGTTTTTTCGGGTTGTTGGATAACTAAAATTTATTTAAAATACTTTATATACCGATCTAAAATAATGGTGCCATTATTTTAAACCTTTATTGTACAGATACGTGGAGAGGAGTTGCAAGTATAAAACTTAAGTTACTTAAAAATATTTATTTATTTCATATTATATCATGTATTGTAACATTATATATCATAATAAAATAAATATGCTTTCAATTCAGAAATTTGAGGTTATTTTACATTCCGAATTATTCTGAGATATGCGCATTTCTTTTTCATTTTAGGATGCATCGCTCTTATTTGGAGGATTGTAGAATGAAATTTTAACATCTTGCCTATGGACAAAATATAACGGTAATATATATTCATACGAAATATATATCTTAAGCTTATTAAATGATTTATGATTAAATGTCAAGTAATTTTTGTTCAATACTATTATCAGGAGATTATAAGAATTATACGTCACTTAAATTACAGAATTTCTTATTCCAACACATGAATTTATAGCTTAACAAAATAATTTTTTCTACATTACCTTTCTGTAACGTCATCATTTGTATCATTGGCATCTGTTAAAATACCAATTTCATATACCACTGCTTTTATGACATATCTGTAATAACAAAGAAGTAGTTTATTCTAGGTAAATTAGTAAGTACTACATATAAGGAACAGCCGATGCTATAAAAGTTTTTGGTTTATCAAATTTTCTTACAGATTATCAGCATTAGAATCATTTATTGAATTATGAGTTACTGTTGCAATTGTACTATAGTCTTCATTAGATACAGGTATTGTTACACTTAATTGCACAGATATACAAAATAATAATAATATTGAGTAAAATACTTGAGATGTTTTAAAATTTTGTTCAATTTCACTGTTACACAACATTTTCAATACTACTTCCTATTCCCATGTGGCTATACTTTTATAGCAGACGGTCTGCTTCATTAGCACTATTCCCCCTTTCTAACTTATAGTCATAACATATGTTGTCATATACATTTTCATCTTGTTCACAAGTGAAGGTGGAAAATTTACCAAGAGAAGTCGTAGTAAACAATCTACACAAAATATTCTAAAAGCAGATGCAAGAACAGAAGGAAAGATAGAACATAATGTTTAATAATTATAAGAATATTTATTAAAAAAAGGGTGTAAAATGAATTTGTGGGCTATTAGTATTTGAAAAATAGCGAAATATTAAATTCTAACTATTTTTAGAAATAACAGTAAACAAGCATACATACAATACTATATTCCACTATAATTGTCACTTTTTTAGATAAATAATGTAATTTTACAATAGTGGATTTAATGTATGGATAAATGGAATAAGGCACATGGAATATTTTGTTGCGACATGCAATATGATATAAGCTTCCATACTTATTAAGTTAACACGTAGGTGTGAATAAAGTTCTTCGTAAGATAAGACGCACATATACGTACGCATTTTGAACGAGAATTATGTGAACATTGAAGTACTATTTTTAAATTACTAAAATAAATAAGTAATTATTTTTTAATTTATGATTACTATTTGATATTTAAACTGACAACTTCTTTGTATGATTGTATTGAATTAAAATAATTGTTAAAAATGCGTAGTTAACACTATACAGTTTCATAGTGCAATAGTTTTAATTGAACAAGTACATACATGTAAATATAATGGTTACAGTAATTTCATTTTGATATTATTTATTTATTTTGTTTTAACTGCATGTTTCGTTCGAAGAAAAAGGATATTTGAAAGCATAACATAAATGGTCCTTAGTCTTTAGGATTTCATGGAAGTAGTTCTAGTTTTATGCAATGGTGGTGTTAGTGTTGCATGTCCATTCACAATAACTCGGTATACTAAGCAATACTGAGTCTGGTTCGTCTGGTAGCAAATATTGTTATTCTACATAAAATTCAGCATTTGTGAATAATTTGTCTTTTACCATAGACGTGTTTGACTTTCAAAATGGATCCAAGATTAAATCAACTAGATCTATTAGAGATGGTAAATTAACAGCCAACTATATACATTATTAGAGTGATACCAGTAGCCATGCTATATTCCGAGTAGCGTAAGCATAAAATCATTTAGAACAAGATTTGGAAATCACCATTAAATTGCAGATTAAGAATTTGCCACTGGATAGGAGAGCAAATTTTGATAAGTGTATGAAGACTGAAGCTCTGTACAATTCTGGTCTTCCTCTTGGTTTAGGATTTGCAGCAGTGAGTTATTTTATATCCAAAAAGTATAAACTTGGAACAACGGGAACCATTATGACTACCTTTGCTGGATTATCTGGATATATTGTAGGAAAAGTAACATATTCTTTCCATTGTGTACAAAAACATTTACCTGAAATAGCAAAAATAATAGAAGATGCAAAACTTCATAGACACAGGTATTACATATTCTTTGTGATCATATACCTAACTTACATTTTCATAAAGTAATCTAGTATGAGTTCAGAAAGGCTATGGAAGGTAGTTTTGTTCAGCCAAAAGAGTTAACACAAGAATTTGTTGATAATTTGAACGAGGAACAAACCTGGAGCAATTATGACAGACATTCAAATGACGATAGTAAGTACATAAGATAAATAATCAAAAGTATTTGTAATCATTGTACACATACATGGTGGTTCGTTGATCTGTAGCATGTAAAATATCTCTAATACTTTTATTAGTAGGCTACATTGTTTTTGGTGGAATTATTTGATTCAAGAAGATGTATATTGTGATTGATAGAACACCTTTCTGAAAGTCATATCTTTTGAGATTTCAAAGCCATCTGTAGGTTTTGTTACATAAGAAGCTGGCAAATGTGTAATTTTTTACTTTCAATGAAATTTCAAGGCTATAAAAGTATAGCTTCCTGAATTTGTCATACAGTGCTCTATAATACTATGTAGAAAAATGAGTCTTGTGTAATAAAAAATGCATCACTCTTTCGAATTTAATAACACCAACAAAGACAATTTACCCTACTCCTAAAAGCAGCAGAGATATTTTACTTGCAATAGATACGCAAGCCCTACTTTGTTCACTAAATTTGTTTTAAGGTAATCAATTCATCGATACAAGTTACAATAGCTATAACGAGGAACTTGCCACAGAGAAACCAATTAACTTAAAAGAACGTATAACTTACGATGATTTACGACGACAGAGTAGAGCAATGTTGAATGAAGGACGACAAAGGTACGAATTAATTCGAGCATTTAAACGAAGCTAGAAAAGCACGAATCAATTAAACTTGATGTCATTACATGAAACTATATAATTTATATCAAATTCTATAATATAAAATATGATTTTTAGTTATAGGCCTATGGCTCGAGAGAGACCAAAGCAAAATAATGAATTTATGGAAGATACGACTTTCGTTCCCGAAAATAAAGAAGAAAATGTTTGGAGTTAAAGGTGATGGCAACGCGTGTTTGGTAGCTATAGATGTTTACAGTATTTCGATATGATGTACATATACAATGCACTACATTATAAAAAATAAATCTTAAACATAAAGCGATATTTTTTAAAATGCATTTGGGACACTGTGCTTCAGTGGCTCTTTCCGATCGATCGTGCTTTGTTCGTGTATAGGTTGTAAGAATTATTGGAGCACTGTGTACGCTCATCTCTGAAGTGCACAATATATCTGTGACATAGAGCGATGCATAAGAAGTATAAAGAAATAAAATATTTATTTTGAAAATTAGAATATACTATACATCTATACTGTTACGAATTGAAACACGAGTACTATCGTTAACATTTCGAACGGCCTTTTTGTTCGGATTCAGGTGACAGAGTATGGAATACAAGCTCACAATTTAACATAGACCATTGTGACAATTATGGTGTCATCCTGTCATCACCTTGACGTGCCCAATAGAACTTCACGTCCCTTTCATAAGAGTGTAGCCGCCACCCGTTCTCTATACTTACCATACGTTAGCTGGTCAATAATTGCTGTTCGGTATTTGCTACATTCCCCTATTGGCAATTGAGTCGGCACGATGACTTATATTTAGGTTCTCCAGTGTGCGTAGACGCACACCTAATAGTTGGCTTCAGTTTCTGACGCACAATTGAAACGGGGCTCAGTATCTTTCACGTTATTTATTCCCCTTGGGAGCATATGTACCATCTTGCAGTAGACTGTTACGAATTCGTTCTACTTCTTTTCTGGTATTGATATTTTTTTCTCTGCGAAATTCTTTGGTTTGTCATAAAATTTGCTCTCAAGAATTGTAATCTGTGTACCTCATTTTTGTCTTCTTTCTTACTTGCATTTTTTTGGCTTAGCTATTGTTTTGTCTGTTGTTGATCATTTTTATCTTGAACAAAGATATACGAGTGTATCGATTATTATTGAAAGGGTTCTATATCTTTGAATCCATTCAATGTTTAATTATAAAAATTGATGTAATCGATATATTTACATCAAGATACCTGGTGTATTTTCGTAAATAGAATCGACGAAATTTCTTATCACGATAGGATTAAAAAATTGCATGCTTCTAGTGTTTAATAATTGCAAACTATTTTCCATCCGGGACGAATACCATTGAGCTTGTTCATATTCTGTCGATTAAATTTATTCCAAGTAATCGATCCAACGAGTAAAAGACGGTTTTGTTTACATTCGAATAAAATTCGTCGCAGTTATAAGACCGTTACGAAATAAAGAAATCGAAAATGAAACTACCTATTCGTTGAATAAACGATCTCGCACTTACTAAATACCTCTGGAAAATACTTCCTCTATTCGAATATTCGATTTATAAACTGCCGATCAGAGTGTAGCTCGCGCGAAAATATCACTGAAATTAGTACTGTTTTTTTTTAATTGGCCAATAAGTTTACACAAAATTGGACGACAGCAGGAATGGCAACGCGTCCGGTAACCAACAATAAACTCGAATTCACGAAGTTTAAAAGTACATATTTAAATACTTCTTCCCCGATCGTTCGGTTCATCGTCAGTTTTATGATTCTTCGCGTTGATTTGCCCAGCGATGAAACTGATAGGGAATCACGCGTGTAAAGAGGGCTGCGAGAAACCAAACCATTGGCTATCGAAGGCGACCAATGGGCGACTACTTCCATTCATAAGTTGAGCTGCTTCCGTCGTCATAGTGGGGGATTGGCCGTGATGTAACTCGAATTCTAGCTGTGTATTTAGTCGGTTCTACGATTCCGAGGCATGACTTTTCGGAGGTGGCTCGCCACCGTAACTGCACTATTTTCCATTTGTCGTTCTACTCTATTTCATACTTATTCCTCCTGGAATCTCTACGCCCAATTATCTCCGGTTATTTTTTTCGTGCGATGTACTATGTAAGTAACGCAGTATGTGATTGGTGCATTTTTTGTAGGTGTACCAGAAATATGCGAATGGCAATGGACCTTCCAGTCAAGCATCAAACTCTTGAAACTACAAAACTAAAATCCTTACAGATTAATCACGATAGGTATTTCGAGAATTTGATTTAAAAAGTAAAAAAATCTTTTTGAAAAGTTTTTCATCAGTTGTTTTCATGTAAATTGAAATCTAGACAGGACATGTAGAACTGACGAAAATTTCATATTTAAGAAGATGAATTTAAAAATTTGTATTAAAAAAGTGGTCCGGGTTAGGTTTGTGACAACAATCTGTTAAAACTCTCTGGATTATACATATCGAATTTCGAAGCTCGATGCATAGAAATTTGGAGGGTGAAAGGCTCGTGCCAAGGGCTATGGAAGTCGCACGATGACTGGTCGAGGGACGGACGGGGACGGGTGTTGTCGAATCGCGAGATTCCGCGGTGAGACCTCGTCGCCGGCGTTACGATTCTTGTGTTTGCTTAAATGATCCGCGCGTAGAAAGGAGAGTCATGCAGGTGCAGGTCATGTGAAATATTTGCACTTTGTCGTAATTTGCGTAATCCGTTGCATATATAATAAATCCGCAAAGCTAAAGCGCCATAATAGAAAATCGTTTCACAATCTAAAGAGAAAGGGAATCTCTGTACCGTGGGAGGGGAGAGATTTGAGATGCTAGTTGCCCGAGTACATTACACGCGAATAGTACATTGACGCTTCTTTGTATGTACGTACTTTGAATTTGAGGTCGTTTAATTCTCCCGCCATTTTTCTGGTTTCCGTGAAGTTTCAATGCAAATCTTTTAAGGACTTATTCCCTGTTAAATAAATAAATAATAATAATAAAAGTGTCACCGAATGCTTATCGGTTGCTTCCAGCGTCGAACAGATTTGTAATTGTTTTTATTCTTTTTATTTTTTTTGCCAGTACGATCATAGTTTAATTAATTATCTTTCTCTTTTCGCGTTTCAACCAATTGACGAAGTGGTGTTCTTTAAATAATCGTACATATTTGCAATTTAAGTCAGCCGTTCGATCGACGCCAGATAATTAGCGATCGGAGGGGAAAAATTGTGGCGCACGGGTGATAGCGAGCGTGCTACAAATGTATGCAAGTGCGTACGTTTGTATGGATATGTATATGCAAACATTAATCGCAGCCAGATGACGTCAGACAAGCGTTGGCGGAATGACTATATGACTGTTCCCGTTGTCCGAGGAGGATCGAGAGAAGAAAATCTCGCGAACGAGACGGAGATGAAAGTTCAAAGTTGGGAATAGAACGGGGGCCTCGATTGAACATGAAGGGAATCTCCATCGAACGTTTATCGATCATTTTGGATACTGTAGATCCGGATAGTTGCCAGTCTTTTATGACCATTCTATTAAGAGGACGTTTATCGTCAACGTATAAATGTCGGTTCGGTACTTGAGACATACCATATTATCAGATCCTTGCCTTTCTTTCATAGCACAATGAATCGCATAGCATTGTTCCTTTGTACGACAGGCAAACAGAAATGAAAGTACAATAAATCCGCGATGAGTGTTCGAAGGCTCCTCGGCACTGACATGGAGAGCTCCCCAGGTGTAACGCTGAGACTTTTTAATGAGGTTTAGCACTTCTTCAGTGCTGAGGAGCCATCGAACACTCATCGAGGATTTAGTGTATATACATAACAAAAAAGTCCTCGAGTTGCATAAAAATTGAAATAAAAATGGATTCCTCTGGCCCCAGAACACGTATGTAGATGTTTATTAAATTGCAAAAAGGAAGTTTAGGGGGTCGACACATGACGCCTTCCGACGCCGTGTCGCGGCGAGGCAAACGAAAAAACGAAGCCAAGAAGAAGCAACGATCGAGAAGTGTGCCAAAGTCGCGTCGATGGTAGGAGAGAGAGAGAGAGAGAGAAACCCTCGACAGGCTCTCGGCAATAATCATACTCCCGGTGGTATGGTATACTTGTCTCTTGTCCCCACGGGTTGGAAAGACGGCGAATAGAGAATGAGAGCGAAGTGATCTTTCGCGAGGAACGAGGAGAGGACGAAAGCAGAGACGAGGAAAGTAGACACGGCCGGGCGGAAAGAGAAAGGAGGAGGAGAGGATGTGTGTGTATGGGTGGAGGAGACGAAGATGGAGCGTGCATATGCATACATATACGCGTACGAGATGATATAGAGGGAGGGACAAGGAAGCATAGGGCGGGAGGGAGAAAAAGAGAGAGAAAGTGTAGATAAAAGATGAGTGGGAGGGGGGAAAGGGAGAGTGAGAGGTAGAACGAGAGGGAGCGAGAGACAGAACGTGTGTCACGGCGGTGAAAAGGGCGAAACATGGAAAAGAGAGAAGGAAGCACAGTCTGGCGATGGCCGTGGAGCAGGGAAGAAGGTGAGAGAGTGAACGAGAGACGGGGTCCGGTCGGCGCAAGCGACGAGAGACGGGGGCGTGCTTGATGGCCGCCTAGACGCTCGGATCGGTCGCGCCCGGGGCGTGAGCCAGCCAGAAGCACGAGCCAGAAGTAGACACGAGGTTAGAGAAACGGAGAGAACGAGGGGTTGGGGAGGGGAGGGAGCGAACTGTGAACGGAGATGACGACTCCAGAGAGGAGGGAGGACAGAGAGCGAGTGAAAGAGCGAAAAGAGCGCGCGCCGTCGCGGTGGTTCTACGGAGGGCTGCGTTCACCAGGCAGTTACTTCGGAACCGTTGCCTTGACGACACGCGTTCCACGCATGCGCTTACACGATATCGGTTGCGCACCGCTATCCCGTCACGAGTGCCAGTTGCTGCGTTCGCCACCCTTGCCTCCACCACCACCACTACCACCACCGCCACCACCTATTCTCCACCTCTACCATTGTCCTCCCGCGAACCACCACCATCGCTCGCCGTCACCTTCCTCGTCGTCGTCGTCGGCGGCGGCGTTGCTACCATTACCACCGCTACCACTACCACCCCCCACCCCCGGCCAACGTAATTGCTTCTCCGTCGGGTACATTGGAGTGTGCTACCTATACTCCCCCGTTACCATTCCGTTACCTCCCCCTGTGAATCCAACGACATAGTATC